GCAAAGCGACGCGCCTCGGTGGGCATTTGCCGCATAATGTCTTCGGAACTGAAGATGGCTTCGAGGTAAAGCCACGTGCGTTGGCAGGCCATCCACTCGTCCAGTAATTGTTGAGAGTACTGTAACTTCTTCTCCCAAGCCTTACAGTCTTTCTCGATACTCTTGATGTACGGAGAGCCGCGCATCGTCTGCGTCTTGACTAGGTGATCATCCAGTAGCGCTACTATATCGTCCGTACTGCGCAGTAAGTACGTGCCAGTCTCGCGATACGGCGCCGTCTGGAACTCCACCTTTTCCCACTCCGCTATCATAGCACTCAAGTTCTTCTGAAGTGAATATTCCTTCTCTGCAAAGGTCCCGATCTCCTGTATAGTCTCCAAATGTTGCGTGATACCGCGATCAAGTAGAAGCTGCAATGTTAACTCCTCTTCAGACTCTTCAAAGCCGATAGTGTGGCGCAATTTCTCCCAATGACGCTCTTGTAATGCCGGACTGGCCAGCGACTGAATCACTGGTAGATAAGCCTTGAACTCTTCCGTGCGTTCTCGTAGTATAAGCGCCACTTCAGCAGACCCCGGTGCGTCGTCCACTAGAGACTTACTCAGTTTGTATGACGCTTTCCACCACTCCGTCACGAGAGCTTCGATCGCGCCGCCTTTGAGCTCCAAGAACGGGCCGTTGAGCCACGTCTGGCGACTGGAATGGAACTCGGAGCTCATAGTCCACAGCTTATAGTACGGAGCGAAGTCTCCTTCCAGCTTGGCCAGTAGCGGCGCGTATTCAGTCGGTGGGAAGCCGAATACTGCCTCGCGAGCATTAAAGTCTTGTGCCTTGGCTCGAGCGTCTTGTAGTGCGTCGAACAGCGTGACGGCCAGTTCCACGTACTTGTCTGTGTGCTCCACTTCGCCGTAGCGAGTGAACGCCCGTACTTCGCCTTCAAAGCGCTCCAGATCCAGCTCGAAAGCCTCTTTTTCAAGCGCCAATCGGTCCATCATACGCACTTTATCCTCTTCTAGCGCGGAATCGCAGGAATCCGCTGCATGAGCGACCTTAAGCGGCCATTCTTTCGTCGAATGGGCGAGCGTAAAGTCCTCGGCCGAGATTTTATGCGAGAACTCATTCAACGCGTCCAAGCGCACGTGGATAGCCGCAACTTCGCGCTGTATACCGGCGATCACGGCCTTACTCTCGCCTACAAACTGCTTGAGTCTAGCCAACTGAGCCTCGTTCGTAGGCTTCTCGTTGATACGCGCAAGAATCGCAGCGTATCGCGCGGTTATCGCCAGATTTTGCGCCCGGGCGTCACGTACTAAGCTCGATATGAGCGTATCCCGTAGCTCCAGAGACCTGGAGCGAAGCTGCTTCTTGAGAGCGCTGGTATGCACGCACACAAGCGGCAAAGCGACGAAGTCGAAGGCGATGACGTCCACACGGAACGCGAGTTCGTGGAATCTCCGGATCTGCTCGCACAAGCGTGGCAAGTACTGGTCTTCTGGCGTCTTGTCTTCCTTTAAGAGCTGCAGTTCTTGTTGCTGCACTGGCTGCAGCTCTGCGATGAATGCAGACGCGTCGAAGTGCACAAAGTCCGTGTACGCAGCGAACTGAGTAGCTAGCGCATGAGCCGCCTGCATCGCATGCTCCACACTCGCACACACCGCCACTTTGGCTGCTTGTAGAGCGTCCAAACACTCGGCTACTACTGCTCGACGACTAGCTTTTTGCACGCGATCTCGACCCGTTTCCGAGTCCACACTGAAGTCCAGTAGCGGTCTGCGATCCAGAGATAACAAGCCCATGATATCGCAGTCCAGTCGGTCGATTTCTTGGACTACCGTGGCGATAGCGTCAAGAGGTTCTAACAACGCAGCGGTCACGTCTTGAGCTGACGGCTCCACTACCACTTGATCGTTCACGAACGCCAGCTGGACACTGAATAACGAGCTACGTGGAGCTCGGATCTTCTGCTCTAGAAACTGGGAAGAGCTTTTTCTTGCTAGAACGGGGTCTTTATCCTGAACATCTTCCTGTTTCGAGGCGAGAGCTCCGTTCTCTGCATGGAGACGTACAAAACTCACCCATTCATCGACTGATCGATGCACTACTTCACGTAGTTGAGCAGCCAGACGTAGTTCCAGTCCAGTGAGGACTCTTTTGAGTCGACTGGAGTCGTAGATTACACGGTCGGAGAGGAACAGATCGAAGTGATCTTGAAGATTGTCGATAATGTTCTCAACCAGTGCACGTCTCCAGTCCACCAGTAAGATCTCGGCGATTTTATTGGCATGTGCAGCTTGTAGAGCCTGGAAGTCCAGCACACGGAACGGCATCTGGGACGCCAAAGTCGGTGTTGATAGTACAGACCGTTGACTTTCAGTGCTCTTAGCAGTATCCTTGTCAGTCTGAACCAGTAACAACTTCTGGAATGTCTTATCCCACCCCGTATACATACGCCGCAGTACAGCGAGTAACTGCGGGGAGCTGGTATATGACACGGTACTCACACGTCGTCGATTCCTTTCAAAGTCATGACCCGGAATTGGTACTTTACCGTATGTGATAGTACCCGGTTCCGTCATTTTCTTACCAGGATGAAGATCTAAACCTTGAAACCGTGCTTGTAAGGCTGGATCACTGCGTAGTTTGGCCAGTAACGCCGCCTTCTTCATACTCCGCATGTATTCTTGAATAGCAGTGTCGGTGAGTTGACGTAATAGAGATGCAGCAGGTTGCGAGTCTAGTAAGGCAACACGCTCAGGTAGACCGGCCACAACTCGACCATGCACCCGTTCCAGTGTGGGGCGTCCCATTGCTCTTAATTGTGACGCATCTTGTTTGGCTAAAAAGTCGTCAAATCTCAGTATGGCCTTAAGTTGTTCCCTTCTCTCTCTCGCCGCAGCAACACGTTTCTCAAATATTATGGGAGACTCACTTTCGAAACGCAAATTGATCCTTTTCACATATTTTTGTCTGTCGGATCCTTGGAATTGGACCAAATATTGCGCTCGACTTTCGTCATAGCCCAATACTGCACA